AAGTTAATTTCAGTCCTGAGTTAGAAAATAAAATTTTCAAACAAAACAGAAAGCTCTAAAACCCAAAAGACTAAATTCTAGAGTTGGAACACTCTATATGGCCACCATATCCATCCCAAAGGTGTACTGTAATAGAGGCTCTACAACAATTATATCCTCATTTCAAAGAGCATGTTAAATTTCAACATTTGCAATGAAAAAGAAACACAGCAGACCAGATGGGAACATTCTACATGGTATGAAGTGATGAGATTGGTTTTGCAGAGAGGAAAAAAAACAAAACCCAACAACCTGAAGAAACAATAACCTTGAAAAAAATAAACCAGAGATGTAGAAACGACTGGCAGAGAAGAAAGAATCAGGGGCAAGTACTTCTTGTAAGAGAAACATGCTACTTAAATTTTAAAATGGTGAATATTAAATGCAGATTAAAATAAAACATTTTAACATTAGTAAATATACGCACAAAATACAGAAAAAATGGTTCTAAAATGTATGAACAAACAGGTAGAAAGCCAAATGTTACTTCTGCAAAAATATCTGCTGTTGTTAATGGAAGTTCTGCGGGATTAAACTTGCAGAAATAACCACCTGTTCAGAATGAGTCACTACACTTACTAACTGTGGTGCTGTATTTTTCTTCATTTAAGTTCTTCATAAAAACATTAACGTGACAAATTCGCAACCATGTATTTTTGGGGGAACTAAAAATATCAGTTGTAAAAGCAGCTGCAGATAATACAGAGCATGTAAACAGTGCGCTTGTAATTACGTACATTATGTAATATGTACTTATGTAATTATGAAGTTACTTCAGTGCTCTGAGTTCCTATAGACTGTCCAGACACTGTCATATTACACTTAAGGTGCCAGCCTTCATTCTGAAAATGTTAAACATTCTTAGTAATATTCCTTAAAATGAGGTAGCTCCCTGGAATATGACCACCCTTGATAGTTGGGATCCTCTGCCTGATGGAGCCCAGGACTCAAAGGAACCATTTATTGCACCCAACCCTTCCACTACAGGGGAACAGGACATCCCAGTGCCTGAGGCCTCTCAATACCAGCAGAAGTATTAGGGTACGTTACCCAATACTCGTGTATCTAACTGCCAGTATTTCACAGGAATGCAGGAAGAAAGCAGAAAAAACCCCCAACAACCAAGACAAAATTTGAAGTTGTGCATCTTGAGGGGAAAATAAAGGTTCCTCTGATCCACAGATATCTCAGCAGAATTACTGCAACTTCGGGTTCATTAAAATATGAGACCGACCAACCAACCAAATGCTTTACAATCCCTTCATGAAGACAGCAGTCAGACACCCACCTCTCCTAAAATCATGGCATTTATTTTTTAATGCCAAGACCATCCAACAATTTATTTTGTAAACTGCTCAGCTCCATTGTAAACCAGTTTCAAGTTCCCTTTCCCATTGGTGAGCTAATATAGACCTTTCCTCTTCTGCTGACTAAAATCTTTCTTCCAATTTCAGTTTTAATTTATTCCTCATTAATAAGATGCTAACATATGCAATCATTATTCTTTAGCTTTTCCTAAAAAGATCAGTTAATCCTATCTCCCCTCAACCTTTGTTGTGCAAAGTTGACTTACAGTACCCGACCATTTCTAATCTACCAGGTTGCTGCAATACACAACATAAAATTTCTTCAGTTAGGCATTCACATTGTACTGCCCTCAGGGAAGCAATTACTGCAGACCATCAAAGAATTGTTCAGGTACGCCACTGCGAAGATAATGTTTATTTTTATTTTTTAAATCAAGGTCCCTGTCCTTTATTTAAATATGATTAGCATGCTGCCATTCATGCGAAGGCCAAAGTATGGAGATACAGACGAAACCGATGGAGCGGTATAGGAATGGCTGGCCAAACCCTGTGCCACAAATGAGTACAGTATCACAGGGACAACTATTTACCCTTAACTGATAAGTTATTAGTGTCAGCTAGGTGTTACAGAGTTAGTTACCCATGCTCACCCACTGACAGTTGCTGCTCTGCATCAGATGTCTGCAGCAAGTGATTGATGGTGGGAGCTTACCAGGTAGCTTTGCTTTCACAACTGATCCTATTAACCAAACCAGAGTTTGAGTTCAGCCAGAGAGAGGAGCTTGCACCTTTCTAAAAGGCAGGGGCTCCCAATGAATCCTATACTCGGCTAAATCTGGCACAGAAACTGGAGCTAGGCAGAAGACATGAAGGTGCGGAGAAACATTGAAGGGATTTAGATGGCAGAGTATTTTGTTGAGGAGGTGCAGTTTAATAGCTGTATTGAAATTTTTAGTGTCCTAAATTCATTAAGACTTGGGTGCTTAATTTCTTCTTCTTCATCTAGATTAACCTAACACATTTTATTTGGCCTCCACAGAGTTACTGTGACTCACTGGTGAGTCATCATTTACTGTTCCTCTAACTCAAGTCACTTGAGAAATCATGTTTGTCCTCAAAAAACCACAGAATTCAGCTACAGGTTAGTTCTAGACACCTGACATGTCTCCCAGAAAACAAAAGGAGTTACTTTTAGAAGGAAAGGCAGTTCTGCAGTTAAGAAACAGGCTGTCTGGATTCATTTTCTGGTTGATCCATAAACACCCTGTGTAATTCAGAAGTCATTTCTTACCTTGGGTAGTAGCTTGCTAGATATGGAATTGTAAAGTTAAATCCAGTACCATTTGTAAACTGCTCAAATAGAGTAGGGACTAAGTAAGCAGACAGAAAATAAATCACCACAGGCACCACAACATACTGGTCAAAATATTAGCTGCACTCCTTTGATGTCACCACCTCTGAAAGTAACAAATTAGTATATTAATTTACACATTACTCTCCTTGCATGCCAAAAGCAAAACAGTAAACTTTTGCACACAAACGGTAAAACCAAACATATATCACGCGTTTTGAAGCACATAATTTCTTGGTTTAAATGTTCAAATCCTGGGACAGCCAAACAGATATTGGAGAAACAGCAGCTGTGTAAGAACAGAAAACAAATAGCTAGAAGGATAAATAGCAAGTGAAAGAATGCAACCTCTATCATTTAGCTCAAGCAATTAACATCACATCATGCTAGGCTGGATTGGTAGCTAATACATCAGTGTGACTCAACGGGTACAATCTAGTAATGTATCTTAATCAAAGGAAGGCAATATTTTATCAGATCGGAGCAGGAAACGCATATTGGCATTATTTTATAATGGTAAGACTATACTGAAATAAACATTTCCTTTAATATGAAGCTGTGGTACTAATGTCAGCCCTTGAGTGAAGACTACTACATGCCTGTGTATGTCAAGATTTCCCATTTCCACTACATATTTTTGCTGCTAGACAGGCAACTACATTGCAGTATAACTTTGTGTACATATGAAGCAAGCTCCCTGTGCAATTTCCCTTTAAATAGTCTTTAATTCTCATTACATCATTTAAAGAGATTCTACTCTGTGATGAAGCTGAATAATTAAAAAATAATTCAAAAACAAGGAAGGAAAAAAAAAAAACCAGAATAAGACCAGTAAGTTCTCTCAAAGACTTTCTGAATCTCATGTTAAAAGATATATGCCCCATAAAAACTGAGGAGCTGAAAGCCCTAGATTGAGCCCTTCAGCTCCCTGGCATCTAAGGGGAATCAAGCCATGTCTGCACTGCAAGTTCAGCACCAGAAAAATCAGTGTACAGTGCCAACCAAATGCTCCAAGTAGCCACAAAACTAGCTCACAAGGCTCTACTTCATTCTGCTATAGCAAAAACATTTTCTGTAAGACAAGGTACATTTAGTAAAGTTTAACTTTGTGTCATCAGATCTGCATTGACTTTAGGCTTTCTGATGAGATGGACATGCTAGTTGAGATCATATGTCTGCACACCTCCAACACTACGACGTCAGCAAAGGCTTACACCGTGAACACAGCCCTAACGTTTGCAAAGAGGCATTCTAGCCACCATGGGTTGGACACATCATCATGCCTACTTGCTGGTTCTTTAAAATCAGGCCACTAAATGAGGCCACTTTAAAGATAAAGTCTTTTGCAGTCATGAACGATCAGTATGAGTTCTGGGGGAAAATCCCAGGTAACTCTCAACCACAGCCTCTAACAGCAAACGACAGGGTTTTCCATCTATCTCTGATCTCCAAAACCCTCTTAACAAACACACTAATTAACTCTTAGATCAACGTTCTTTGCCCAGAAACAATGTTATTCCAGGTAACAACGGGCTACCTCACAATTTGATATCCCATTCCTTTCCTATTCCCTAGCTGCCCATTCTTATCAATATCATTTTAGGGGAATCAGACATGTGTTTTAAAAGCTTTTTATCTTTAATGTGTTTACCTTACATGTGTATTATTATTACTGTTATCCTTGCTCAAAATGCAATAAATGGCTTACAAAGGCACACATCCTCATTAATCTCTCAAACCACCAGAGCTCTTCTACTCCCTTATATATTTTCAAAGGGCATTTCTGTAAAGCCTCATCATTATGATACTAAAACAGTGCTGGGAATGTACACAGGCTGTCGAGACGTCTGTTTTTACACAGTATCTCAGTATGCCTCAGTTCTGAGGTTTGCTTGTGCTCTGTCAGATTTGATCAGTAAGAAGCAGTTTTAAAGCATGTAGTGATCATACAGTTCTTTGCTACAAACTAAATTTAAGTTGTTTTTAAATGCAAATGGCATATAAACAAAGTTTTTCACTCAGGGATTTTAGTTGGTCAACAGTTAGTCAAGCAAACCTCTGGGTAAAGTCCCTTCTATGAAAGTCAGTAATGCGTAACGTCAGGGAGGAGGCAGGAGGGTTGTTTCTAATTACTCTCTTTGAACAGACTAATTGTAAAAGGATTAAAAATAGATGCTTTCACATCCCATAAAACAGTAGGCAGCAAATCAAGACCAGCATACAAACACGGGTTTTTTTAAGCACTTGAAAAAACCTACGCCTCCCACAAAAGAGACTCACGTCATCAGTCTTGAAAACAATGTGCGAGGGTAAACTTTCGCAGTCAAGCCATCCTGCTAATGCCCTTAACTGCTCAAAGGATCCAAGAAGCTACAGATATGTAAGTACAGAAAAGAATTAACTTTTAAAATTTTTTCACTGAACAACAGCAAACAATTCCAGAAAGATTATTTCTTTTTTGCATTATACTGAATATTTTCATGTGGTAGGAAGGATAAATGATCTTTGAATGGGAGACAAGGCTCGTGGAAGAAATTCTGTGATATTTTATGTTTACACATTAATATGCTGCCAGTTAATTTTTATTTAAAGGATCTGTTGACCCACAGCATCAACAAGTTATTTCAAGCCCTTTTTTATAACACAGCCTTTCGGCAATCACAGGGAAACACTGGATAAGCTAATGTAGTATCAAATTTTTTTAGCAGTAGTAATTTAAATTATGCTAATGCAGAAATAACGGATGTACAAATAGTAAGGGAAGTATCTTAAGTCATTCACCAAACCTTGCAGCCTTAAACAAATCCATACTATGGTCATGAATGCATAGCTTGCTCTATCACATGTGCTTCTTGCCTATGAAACAGCCTTTACTATCAGCTCAAGAACTCAGTCACTCTTCTCACGCCTAAATATTGCAACAGTATATTTTAAGAATTCAAAGTTTTACAAGCTAATTCCTCTTTTACCTTCTGACACACATTTCTTTCAAAGTTTTCAGAAGGAATTCTTTTTCTGAATCACAATCACCAAATGTCTTTCTCCTTATTACTGATCTTCATGCCACAAAGCTGAAGAAATATTAAAAGTGGTACGATTTTTATACATCTTCCCAATTAAAAAGGATCCATTTTTCCCATTATACTGGCAAAACAAGATAGACTGTTTAACAGACAACAACTCAACTATTATTTATCTTAAAAAACAGAGACGGCATGCATGCCTTTAAGCACGGAATACAAGAGATCTGTCTAACATTTTCATGGCTCCTCCTGAAGAGATGAGGGAACTGAAAACTTACCTGGCAATTAGTCTTTAAAAGCTCAAATCTCATCCCTTTCTGTTCGAAAAATTGAGGAATCTGTATCCATGTAATGAATAACAAATTTAAGCTAGAGTTCTGAAGTTGTAATCCCTAAAATTAAAAACTGCACCTGTACTGGTCATATAAACAGGTGTGCATGTTTTCTAGTACTAAAATACAAATAATTATTTGACTCCTTTTTTCTTCTGCTTGTAGGAATGTAATTGTCAGTGGCTCAGCTTTTTATTTTGTTTAGTTGCTACATTTTAGGCTCTCTCCTTTTTACATTCAGTATACTCGGGCAAGTAAACCAAAGGAAGGATAACCATCTCTGCATCAGCACAGCTCTTCACATTAACATGCATCTTTGGCAGAGATGATTTATGTTAGATAGTTCTCACACTTTTCATAGGACGGATCACATTTGGAAACAGAGATCTAACAGATAACAGCAAGACATGTACACTTCAGATGACTTCCACTTTTTAACTAGTTATGCAGCATTTCAACTCAACTTCTTTATTTCCATTTCGCTTACTGTAGCTGCTACTATTTTTAAGTGCCAAAAGTAACTGTCGTACAACTTTTTAAAATCTGTAGTAATAGATAAAAGCAGGACCATAAAGATCCCACCCACAGCGTATGCATCTGCAAATTTTGTTAAGCACTTAAAGAATATTATAATTCTTCATAGCCATCATTAAGACAATTTCATTCATGAAAGGCATACTTCGGATTCTCTGACACGTGGCTTACAAATTTGGCTTTAGTACTCCAACGAATTTGGGTCTATACCAAGGAAGAATAAGAGCACTAGCCTGGAAACTCTCTCACCAAAATTAGCTGTGGGTTGTGACCTGGGGATTCAGTCTTCAGGTCATTAGGCCTACTCGTTGTCATTTAGTACACAAAACTCAACAGCTTTTGAAACAAGATAAATTAACATAATGCACTAGAAGCGTATGAGTATTAAAGTATTAGAAAAGAACAGGAAGCTTTAGGACACGCCTGTCTCTTGCCTCAGCTTTTATTAAACCACATGCAGCTCCCAAGCTGCCAATACATACACCTAGATATAGGTACCTTAGGTGTATGTTCTTTCTAAACTAACAGTATGTTCTACTATGCAACTTAGCATGCACACTTTTTAACATACATAACTTGGTTGAATCAAGCCTTTTTCTCAGAGAAAACACTCTGTGATGAAGATCACTTGTACGGTAAATTAGAAATTCAAACAGTAAATATGACTGGTCAACAGAAAACAATTAATTTTAGAGATTAAGGTAAAAATTAAACCTACATAACCACAGCACTGCATATTGCCCATCTTCTACTGTTTTGAAACTGTAAGACTTAGACAGCTTAACACCTACAGAGGACTGCAAGCTCAGTAAATCCTCAGGTCAGGCACTGCAGGGAAAGAGAAGTCTCTTTCCCAACCATTCCTTTTAAATCATTTACACTCTTTATGTGTACATAAACAACATTATTCCCCAATACTGTTTGTTAAAGAAATATTGTCCATCTCAAAGTGACTAAACCATACTACCTACAGAGCCAGGAGAGATCTTTCTAATGATCTGCTGTGCCTTTCCAAGAACTTAATTAGTATGCCTCTTAAATTAGCTACTGGACAGATGGACCAGGGATTCATCTCCAAAGAATGAAAATTATGACGAGAGACAGACAAATCACACATTAGATTACAATACACAGTTACAGCCTTCTACATGTTCCCTGTTCTGCTGAAAAGACAGATGAGATGGTGCTTCTTCAGCAAAAGCAGGAGATGAGAACAAGAAGAAAACTCATTTTGCATACAGAGAGCCTTTATCACTGCTTGCACATAGTCCAAACCCGTGTAATCTAAGGTTGCAACACTGCAATTGCTGGCTCATCATTTAAGTCTATGCTTGTTAATAGTTAAAAGCATGTAACATTATGATACTACATATAAAGCTCATCATACATGAACATCTTTATGAACCAGGGCTTTGGATTATGTAGTACTTCCAGACTGGAGCCACCATTCTGTTCGACAAACACCTTTTGCAGCGGGGACTCTGCTCTGAGCTGGGCTTTTGTATACTGCAGTATAAATGTAAAACAAATGAATGATGCTAGTCAAATGTTTTCACAGAAAACCAGTCTCCTAAAACAACTTCTTTTCCTTCTTTGATGAGATTACAAAATTGGCTTAAAAAGGCACCTGCACAGATTTCAGACATGCTAGATTTTGTTACCAGCTTGACAGGGTACTGTGTTTTTTCTTCCCCAAGTGGATACTATTGCTATCAAATATCAAGAGAGCACACAGAATAGACTAAAAGCTGGCTAGCTAACAAATCTCATCAAGTAATTGGCTAAAGAAAATATTTTTTTTTTCCATTGGTGGTCAGAAAGCAAATACAATGCTAAGACTTAAAAAACAGCAAGTGAGAGAACAATAAAGAACAACCTGCACTGGTCGTAAGCCTGGGCATAACATTAAAATTAATTTTAAACTCTCCCAGGCGTAAGGTCCTCCCAGCTAGAAGCAGAGAGCAATGGTCATGCCCCTAGACTGGAGATATCCTAGGACACAGTGAATCTGAGAAGTACTCCAGGATCACAGCGAACTCACTTCCCAAGCTTCCAGTGCAATGCTACACAACTCTATCTCGGATACCTAATCAACCGAGCAGAAAAAGCAGGGCCGTGGTGGTGAGTATATTTCCAGGTACACCAATACCAAGAGGCACCTGGAACCCCATTTCTTGTGTGGGACTAAGCTGAGGTTAGAACTGGCGTCACGGGATTATTTTGCCTTGTGATGAGACATTTGAGAACTTCACCTTGAATTGCCAAAACGTGAGAACGTATAAAGGGGAAAGGCTCAACAAAACCAGCAACTGCAGATTAATTTTAGAGAACTTTGAACAAGACACAGCCACATTTTTTAACAGGGCGGTTGACTGACCAAAAACTACAGTACAAATGGCTAATTTGCTTTCTCTTCAGTTCTCTAAATCAAGACCAAACAGCATTTTAGAAAATATGCTTTAAATGAAAAGTTAGTGGAATCCATAACAAATAACTAAAATAATAACATAACCTGGATTACACAGGAGGTCCCATTAAATGAGTAAGTGGTCTGTGTCGCTGAGCATCACGTGTCTGCAGACTCAGAAAACAAAAATCTGAACAATCTTCTTTACAATACCAATATAAAGACAGGAATTTTAAATACTTTATGCCTTAAAATTTTGCATGTACCTCTATGACAAAAAAATGTGACAATGTTTTCTAAAATTATTAAATTGGTAAGGTAAATTAATGTTATCTTTTTTTCAAGTATATACTTCAAAATAGTATCATTAATAAACTCAGAAAGCCACTGAGGAAGGGTATTTAATCCAACAACCTAGAGGAGCAAACATTTTGGTAGTGATTCTAGAGGGTAGCTTCAACGGTGCATCTGGATTTGGGACCGTAAATGGCCATGTTCTCACAAGGTATTCAGACACACAGCTCATTAAAATCAGTAAGAATTAAGTCCTTCTAGTCTGAGGTTTGCAGCAGTAAGGAGGTAACATTCTCCATTTTTGCTCCAAGAATGCAAAGCACACAAAAAGTACGCAAAATGGGCATGTTGCTGTTTTTTCAGATGCATTCTGTGGAGGATGTCATATGCTTTGTATGTATAATAAATTGATCACTAATGACTGCTGCCAAGAAATAAAGAGCAACCTGACACAAGGAATAGGATTAAAAAAGAAGTCTTGTCTTCCTTAACAGTCTAGACACCTTTTAGAAAGAAAGTGTTTTTTTAAATGCAGCCCTGTTCAAGATTGACAAGAAAAGGTGAAATACCTGCAGAGGTGAATGGAGTTCATCCAACAACAGTAAGAGCTCAGATGTACAAAGACGTTACCATAGCTCAGGTGATGTGCATAAATTTCATCATCTGTTTGGGCCCCAAACCAGATACAGCATCTCAGTTGTTTTTTGTTGTTGTTGTTGGTTTTTTTTTAAATTAAATATATTCAGGTAATATAGCACCTAGACATCATGGGCAAAAATGCCCATACATACCTACCTATAGAGAAAAATACTAACACTCATGTAGAGTATTATAAAATGTGCTCCCTACATTAACAGCCAAAATATTTTGGGGATAACAGAGGATCAAAAAGAACGCTTTCCCCACCCAGGGCTGATTCCCACAGCAGGCAGAAGAGCCTGCTGACATCCTCTATCAAGGAGCGTAGCTTAGCTGACGTGCACGCTGCCCTGGAAGGCCCATGAGCTGTGGTCCTCCAGCCTTCTTCTCATCTGTTTGTGGCCGGTTTGTCCTGCCATGGAACTGCTCCCCACGTATACCCATGCTACCACCATGGATAGACACAAACTCTCTCTCAGCTAGGACTACTTCTCAATATAGCCGTGGTTTTATGCGAGGGTGAACATCCTATTTTGAGCAACAACAAGTTCTACATGAATTTATTAGATTCTGGATAGAATTTATTCTGAATGAATTAAAGATCCGACTTCATAGCACAAAATTAGGTAACATGCATTTTAGGAAATTCTACTCTTAATATTAAAAAAAAAAGTATTTCACTGAAATTATGGATTTTTTCTTAAACCATAGTTAAATGTGTTTGTATAATAGATATTCTACATTTTACAAACATTTATAGAAAGACAAATGGATGGACTTGACAATTATGCACATCATTTACGAACCAAAACTATTACAACTTTACAGTGAAAATAAAATTATGCAGTGATATGCTGTAGCTAGCTACTGCAATAGAACTGTTTATCATAAATCTTAGATTATCCTTCCTTACTTATGTTTAAGAAATGATTTTACCTAAATTTCACGGAAGAGATGAGTGCAAGATAGATGTCACGCTGGGAGGGTGAACAGGTAATCAGAAGCACTTAAATAAGAGAAAGAAAAGAAAATACCTCACTGACTGTTATCCAGGTGCCTACACAAAACCCACGCCATCTTCTGCAAAAAGCAGTCTGTTACACTTATATAAAACAAGAGCCACCCTACAGGCTTCTATTAGTGAAAAGATGAAATGGAAGGAAATTATACCAGAACTGTCCTCAGGGTAATAACTACTGCATTAATCAATCATCAAACACACTAACACCAAGATACTGTGAACGATGCAGATACAACTAACACAAAATTCCAGACTTTCTTAAGTCTGAACTACAGCTGGACTTGCTATTTACCAGTTTAATTCCCTTATTAAAACCACAAAACTCCCACTTCAGATTTGACTTCCAACCCTGAATGCAGTATTCCCACATCTTGACACACGGTACATACTTCACGGGTATCTAACAATCAGAACATCGTACATCTATCAGTCAGAAATCACTCATCTGTCTTTCCTACTGCCTGTGCAACACAGCAAACATACACTTACTATACTACCTGGATGCTAAATTTCTTCCTTAAACGTATGTAATATAACTCATTTATGTATTCTAATACACATCATCCACTACCCGCAGGTTTACTGTTTACAGAGAACCTCATGCACCTCTGCTAACCTAGCCAGAAGTCTCATCAGACTTATAATACAGTATGTGTTGCAGGTACATTAGTTGTGAGTAACTTGAAACAAGTAGGACAATCTCCTCAAAACTGAAAGAAGATACTAACCTTCTAATGCTTTCACAAGTTAATAAAAGGATAATGAATACTTTCTAAAATGCATAGCTTAAAACCCTTAAAACTGAGAGATATTTTCCAGAAAGACTTTTTTAAGGTACAACAGGCTACAGTTGTTTGTAAATATTATGTGTTGAAAGGCAGATCCTCAGAACTAACCTAGACATTTTAATTAAAGGTACCAGATGGACTTAAAACTCAGGTTACAACAGCTTTTATCTCCAGATAGTATTCTGCATTAAAGCAAAAGCAATCTTGTTTTGACTGCTGTTTTAATCCATAAATGGTGCCTCCAAGAGGCACCATTTTGCAGAACAGCTGCCTAAGGAGTAATGTTAGATGCCCCATCCTTTCTGACATTTATGCTTACACTATGCAACTGTCAGGTAACAACACACCTAAGAAATATTTTGCACTGGAAGTGGTATCAACAGGATGGGGTCCTTTCCGTTTCTGAAATTCTACCGGATCATTTTTTATACTTTTAAGTCCCCCAAATCACTGCCACTATGCAGCTCTTCCATGCTACTTCTGACTGTGCAGGTTAAACAATTTCTAAAATCTGCTAAATTGACAACATGTAAAATATTTCAGCTGGGTTATCTCTCTTTTGCAGCACCACTGAAGAGTGACTAAAGTTGTAGTCTTAAGAATTTATCTATGTAACAATATTTGAATTAGATTCCAAAAGCCAATTCTTAAAACTAGTGTTAAAAAAAGCTGAATTATTATAATGCCAATATGATAAGAACACTGAAAAAATTTAGTTTCTCTAAACGATTTAAACCATCACAACGTGAATTGTTAGAAACAAAAACTCCCTAAAAATTAACTGAAACACATTTAAAAGATTTTGTCTGCTTGTCTGACTCTTGGGGACTTACGATGATCCTTTAACATGTGGTTTCTTCACACTCCTTTCTCCCCTCAGATTGCTTTAAACAGTCTCCCACCCCCTGAACATCTATAAACTTCACTTTCCAAATATATTACATCCCTGGTTTATTATTTTGCCTCCTGTCTGATTTCTTTTCAGGAGAGAAGGAACTAGGATCCAGTACCTAAAGGGGGCCTACAAGAAAGCTGGAGAGGGACTTTTTACAAGGGCACGTAGTGACAGAACAAGGGGTAACGGCTTTAAACTTAAACTGGGTAGATTTAGATCAGATGTAAGGAAGAAATTCTTCACTGTGAGGGTGGTGGGGCACTGGAACAGGTTGCCCAGAGAGGTTGTGGCTGCCCCATCCCTGGCAGTGTTCAAGGCCAGGTTGGATGGGGCTTTGAGCAACCTGGTCTAGTGGAAGGTGTCCCTGCCCATGGCGGGGGGGTTGGAACTAGGTGATCTTTAAGGTCCCTTCCAACCCAACCCATTCTATGAAAACAGAAAAGCCAAAAAGAGCCATCTTTTTGTTTGTTTTCAGAAGGAGGTTTGGAAAGTATTTCACCATAATGAAGTTTCATTTCATTTTTTTACAATCTTGCTTTTTGCAACAGAGGTTGGCCGTTGTTATGCAGAAGAAGTTTATCTATGTTTATTACAAAATGTTCTCTTTTGGTTTTCTTTTCATGTTAGGTCTACTGAGCTTCCTGCAACAACAGTGGTTACAGAAATGGACACTTTCACAGCTTCTCAGACAAACAGTTCCACCTGTGACTTATATGAGCATAAAGATACAGCACGGATACTACTGTCTGTCTTCTACAGCTCCATCTTAATTCTTGGGGTGCTTGGAAACGCCATTGCCCTCACCGTCATTTTTAAAAACAGAAAGAAGATCAACTCCACTACCCTCTATTCAACAAATCTCGTCTTCTCCGATCTCCTGTTCTGTATCGCCTTGCCTACAAGGATAGCCTACTACGCCCTGGGATTTCACTGGCCATTTGGAGAAGCATTATGTCGAATAACGGCTCTCTTGTTCTATATCAACACCTACGCAGGTGTAAACTTCATGACATGTTTGAGCATTGACAGGTTTTTCGCTGTTGTCCACCCCTTCCGATACAAGATCAGAAGGATTAAATATGCCAAGGGCATTTGTGTCTTTATCTGGTTTCTTGTATTTAGTCAAACTTTCCCATTACTTATACAACCCATGTCACAGGAAGAAAAAGAAAGGACTACATGTATGGAATATCCAAACTTTGAAAAAATAGCACATCTACCATTTATACTGCTTGCTGCCTGTTTAGTAGGGTACCTTATTCCCCTGGGGATTATACTATTTTGTTACTCTCAAATTAGCTGCAAACTTTTTCAAACGGCCAAGGAAAATCCACTGACTGAAAAATCAGGGATAAACAAAAAAGCCATCAATACAATCATATTTGTAATTATAGTGTTCATCATCTGCTTTACCCCTTATCATGTTGCAATCATAAAACACATGATTAAGAAGCTGCAGAATGAACCCTCGTGCACTGAAAAGAAAATTTTCCAGAAGTCACTCCATTATACCGTGTTTCTGATGAATTTTAACTGCTGCCTAGATCCTTTCATCTATTTCTTTGCATGCAAAGGATACAAGAGAACTGTAATGAAAATACTGAGACGACAAGTGAGTGTATCAATTTCAAGTGCTGTCAGGTCACATCACGAAGAAAGCTCACGTGATGTGGGAGAAACGCAAATGATGACACTTGCAAAATCTTCCAATGGAAAGCTACCTGAAAAATAAAGTCTGTAGTACACACCATAGCGGAGTAAGCTTAAAAATCCAGGGTCCACAGTAAAAACTCTTAGTGGTCCCTGTACAGCAGCTTAAGTAAGATTCTGTTTTTCAGGATGTCAGGAAATCAAGGAGTGATGTTGGACTGAAAAAGAATTGTCACAGGTCAGCAGGAAAACTCGGCATTATAATTTCCTAGCTGTATCATTTTGACTGATCTCATTATTTTTTCCAGGAAATATGCACCACTGTGAATGTTCAAGTTCCATACTGCACATATGTATGCCTGGATGTTATTAACTCAAGCAAAGACTTGATTCACAGTTTGGGTGTCTGAGAAAGGATTAAACACCAACAGCTTACAATTCAGACTGACTACAACCAGAACATCTGAAAATTGCAAGACCTCTAGCTGAGCTTCAATTACAGCAATGGTTTTGTTAGCCAAGTCACACAAGGAAAAGAAATCAAACTTTGAGATAAAACGGACAATTTCTGTGCACACGTGACTATCACCAGTGCCGAGTTTATAGCCCTTTGGAGGTGAAACTGCATTTTATAGTATTTGGAGCACAAATGTCTTATTGGACAATCCACACAGATAACATTGTCAAAAGTAATAGATGAAAAGTTAATGAACTGTTTGGTCCTCCCCAACACTTGAGTATCTCCCGTATGTTAAATCACTCATCTTTGCAAGGTGTATTATCTCTTTACTCCTTTTCCTAAAGGAGAACTCTTCTTTCTAGTGTGTATTGTAATGAGCCTCTACCCTAGTTGTATATAAATTATTTATAAACACAAAAAATAAGTTGAAACAGGAGACTGTAATATGAAAACTGCACTGTTTCAGTGAGAACTGCAGTGATACAGGGTTCTTCAGAACTTCTGCTGAAGTCAGACATGGACACAAGACAAACATTTTGGAAACGGGAATAAATGTTCACAGTTGAAGCCACCAAAAAGTAAATCAATGGGTTAATTCTGATGGTGTGAGATGGCCACCTCTTTTTAAGCGCTGTTTACCAGAGAGATCAATAAAAGAGAACAGCAGGATTGGCTGGGAAAGAACAAGCTTTCCCATCACGCCTTCATACAGCGTAAGCGGGATCCCTTTGGGCACACTGAAATTGGGCCAGCAAAGAGACCAAATGACTTAAACGCATCCTGCTGGAATCGGCTCAATACCAGTTGAGTATCCAGGATGCAAGCCCTGGGTTCCTGCTGTCGTGCCCTTCCGTCATGTGTCAGTTTCCTTCCCCACTTCATTCCTGGCCCCCCGTCTTTTCTTTTGTCTTCTATCTTAGTAATATACCTTCATCTGCCAGCACAACTCGGTAATTGCACCATGAGGTTGTGATGGAAAAGGAAAATTAAAGAGCGCCTGATAATTACTGGTAAAAGCTATGCCAGATATCATAATAAATGTTATTTATTGCAGCTGTATCTCTCTGGAATTGAGGTTGTACTGCAAGTCAGACAAACACAGTTACATTTGTCATCTTTGCAATTCCTTCCTTCCTCACGTGTTGACCTCCGCCTACCTGCAAACATGGAAGGGTCATATCTGAACAGCAGTACGGAAACATTAAATTAACAAGTACTTTCTTATGGGAAAGAAAATGCAAAAGACCCTATATTTCATACCACTTAGATTGTCAAACTTGAGTTTCTAATTACAAAAGACACTATGCAACTAAAGAAAAACAGAGTAAGAAAAATAATTCTTAACAGAAGTTCTCCTTAATTCTGTACGCTATAGCAGTTCTGTTCTTGTCAGCTTTTTTAATAAACTATTTTAAAATATTATTTAAGAATTTGTTCCTACTGGAGTAAGCAAATGATGACCTGAAAAAAATACCGACAGACCACTCATGAATACCTAGAAACTGTAGAAATAAAATGTATGTATTACTAACATCACACCAGTACAAGCTCATTTTATTCTACTAACGTCTTCTTTTTAAATTTTGATATGTGTTTCATCTAACTGTGATTATAAAACCTGAAAGGCAAGAAGTCTTTTTTATATTTGTCTGTAAAATATAACTCATGTATTACAGCACCACATAATGCAGATACCTATTCTCTTCTAAGTGGAAACAAAGTGAAGATCTGTATTGAAAATGTTTCTCTATCCCTGTTTTCTTACGTTAGCAATTTTGTTATTTTCAAATTTAGACTTTGTTTTTCACAAACACGCATCAACGTTCTCAACCAGCTAACTTTACATCAAAATACCAGGTTTGCTCTAATAAGCCTTAGAGTGTCGGTCCAGTTAAATATGGGTTTGCGAAAAGCTGGGTTTTTTTCTCCCTATTTTGGTATTTCTCAAATGCTGAAGAAACCAATAAAATAAAAACCTTTAAAAGCGAATATAAGCTCAGCTTCCTGACAAGAGTCCTAAAGGCGCAGACACACAGATAGTGACAATTTATAGCTGTGGCAGCCGATGCCACTGCTTCCCCTCACTGCTTGTCAGCGTGCACCCACAGCTCATGCACACTCCTATCAATGAGGAGCCTCTTTTCTGCGTGCTTATCTGAAACTGCCGAAAGCAGAGGTGGTGGTTTCAGTTGGCCTGGGACAACTGCACCGAAGTCATTTAGAGAGCATCTGTCCTATTTCTTCTACCAGCTGTGCTGTGGGGCTGGTAGCCATCACCAGAGAGATCTAACAAGCTGCTGCATGGGAGCAAGGGAGAGCAGCAATATTGAAAACTTACAGCTGTTCTCCAACAATTGGTTTTCTTCAAGATGCCCTTATCCATTTATCCTGCTGGTACTCTTCCCCCAGTACTGTTTGTTGGAGTATTTTTACGACAGCAGTTACTTGTAGTGGCACAGCTCTGGTCCCTCTCCTCCTGTATGCCACACAGACATGAAAGAAGGGGGTAAAGCCATACCTGGCATCTCTTTTCCTCTCCAACACTGAGCACATAATGGATGTGTCTGTCTTAAAAGACACGAGCATGCCATGCCATGCAACATGTGGCTGAAGCAGTACGAGCTTTGCAAAAGAAAATGAGCTTTTGCTTTGGCAAAACCTTTTGATATATTCTAGGAAATGCCCCCTTCTACGTGAAAGGCTGGGAAATGGTCATACAGATCTGGAGCTCACTCACTCTTTTCACATATAAAGCCAGCAGCTGACAAGTAGCAGCAGGTTCAAATGGCTTGCTCATTATGGAGATCTGACTGACGTTCTTTAGGGAAACTGGATCTCTATTTGGAGGGTGAAGTCCAGTCAGGATCTTAAAACCCGTGCTCATGACAAAACGATAGAGTAGCTTTTAACTCTGCACTTCAGAGTGTGGGGCTAGGGCAGTTGCTAAGAGGACTCCAACCAGACTACATGTCCACTGCTGACATGTCTCAAATCTTACCTGGTAGGGAATGCAACAAAGCACACAAAAATAAAAATGATGATGGGGGCCAAATGGTACGTTTTGGCTGTCTCTGTCCAAGTCCAGAAAAGAAAATTGTATAGACTTTTGTTGTTGAACACATGACCAAATGAAGGTGCATCATGCAAAAAATCTCAAAACACAAGCATTTTCAGCAAAATAGCATTTAGTGCCTTCACCTTTTCTTTCACTGAGAATGCAAAACTAAGGACTACTACTACAAGTGCTCAGCCACCTTCGGCTCAAAAGATATTGAAGCCTAACTGAAAGTGTGGAGATAAAGAACGCCATCTCCTGTGGCTTACAGTCCCAGCAGACGAGGACAGGTATTCCCCAAGGCATCGCTGCCTGACTCTTTTGGCTGTGGCCCTGAAAGCTATGCAGATGAGGAACCTCTCAGCAACATGGTTATCTCCTAGCAAAAAACAGTAACAGCAACTGTCCAAAGTGAGAAACATGCTACCACAAATAACACGACTCCTGAAGGTGGTTAATGACCCCTCTTAAACCAGCAAGCTCATTAGTATACAGAAAAAAATGGAGGGTTTGGGGGTTTTTTAAACAGATGTTGCATTAAAGACTAACATTGTTCTGCATCTCAAAAGCTTTCAGGTAAGCAAAGAATGAATAGACTCCAAGAAAACGATGAGATGGCCTGCAACATAAGAAAAATAAATAGGGTGCAGCTGAAGAGAAGGTTTGCCTTACATGACCAGTTTTGGAGAAACTGAAAAGCAGCGATGTACTCCGTCTCATTGATCTCCATGTCCATGGTACACAGCAGGGGAAGAACTCAAGACAAACTAAGGTTTGTATCTTAGCAGTATCCCACTGTACTGGCTCAATACAGACAAGGTCAATGGACACCAAGAATCACTAAAACATCAAATTCATCCAAGTGAAATATTTCCCAATACAGTCTTGGCTAAGCCGCAGCCTGCAGACTACGGCTCTGGTACAAAATGAACTCAGCCAAGCTGCAACCCTTTTCTGAAGAAAAACAGGGAATTGCTGTTTGTGTAGTAAATGCTCAGACATATTTCCTCAATTTTTTTCTCCTTACAATACTCTCTTGGCTTCCTGCAATGTCTAACTTTGGACGTCCTGAGGCAGATTTCTCATCTTTGCACATGACAGTCCTTGATCAATTTTTCTTCCATCAGCCTGTCTGGTCCCTTTTTGAACTCAAATAAAATGTGCCTGCAGCATCTTGCAGCAAGAAGTTCCACAGACTAACTACCCATGGTATCTGGAGCCATTTTCTTTCGCTTGTGACACCTGTTAGTTTCATTTGAAGTCCCTGCTTCTTGTACCAGAAATGAGTGAAAACAGCAACTCCCTATTTACCCTGTCCGCATTTCTCGTGATTTTACAGACCTGCATCAAATCCCCTTCCTTCAAGTCATCTAGTGTCTTCTCCTGTGAACAGTCAGATCAAAGCTGTTCACCACTTCATCCAAATTATAAAGGAAGGAAAGAAGGCAAGTACAAAGAAAGAATGGGAATCCAACTGTGTTCGAGCTGGGTGGCAGAAGAGAACAGGGTATCTCTATACAAAGGGAGATCAACAGCGTACTGATCTACTTCTCCTACCACAGTAGCATACAGGTATGTCTCAAAACTAGGATGTTACCCCATGACTACCAAATTTGGATAACCTTGCTCAGATGCATTAAATACAGAAGAACAGGACCTCAATGGGCTGGAAAAATGTGCTCACAGGAACCTCATGAAGTTCAGCAAGTCAAATGCAAAGTCTTGCATCCGAAATGGAATAACCCCATACAACAGTGCAGGCTGGGCACCACCTGGTTAGCAAGCTGGGTGGCAAAAAAGGTCTGGGTTCCTGGTGGACAACAAGTTAAAGAGAAGTCAGTCATGTGACCTCACAGCCAAACACATACAGGACCGTGTTCAAAAGAACGTCGAGGCAAGCAATCCTTCCCCTCCATTCCATACTTGTGAGATCATACCTGGAGTCCCGTATCCAGTTTTGGGCTTCCCAGTACAAGAAAGATACTAACATACTGG